GACACAAAGTCTATATTCCCAACACCAAGTGCATCCTTAACAGATTTTTGGCCCAGAAACTTCTCCATGTTGGAGAAATCATAGCAGAGGCTCCCCTCACATTTCTTTCTAACATCATAGTACTGCAGGCATGCCATAATGGTCAATATCAGATTTTATATAGAAAATCATAATTTGACAGGATTAAAAGTGCCTTAAGGGAAACCTTATTGGTAGAACTTAGAAGACCATTATGATAGAAAAGCACTCAGATCAACGTTTTCCCCTTCCAAGTTATGCCAGGGCTTCAAAGAAAAGGATCTAAAGAAAAAGGGTAACAAAACAAAAAGGGATTTGGGTTCTTACATTTGTATCACCGGCAAGAGACATGATGGTACTGAATATGGTATTGCAAACAAGATACGACGCCATGCAAGAGAGGGTACCGTCAGTGCCTGAAATGAAAAGCAGCAACCAGCTCTAGTCACTCAACAGCATACCTTCTAATGCAACAGAGTAAGAAAGATCTGTACTTTAACTAACATATGTCAGCTTAGCCTGTGAAAAATAAACAGCATGAATCATAAAAAACTAAAAAAGGCACTGGTTGGATTGGATCCAACATTACCACAAAGCTTTATTGCCATCTCACACACTGGAACCACCTTGTTGATATGATCATGGTCAGATTTTTTAATTATCCCCATGTCCAAAGCATAATCTGTGTAGGCTTTATACTGGATTGCAGGATCAGTAAGTCCATTACCAATGGCAAACCCCTGTTGAAACAATTTTAGTTCAAGTAAGTAGAAGCTAACTAACCAAGTTCGAGGCAAAATTACATGAAATAAGTGAAATGAAATTTTCAGGCTTACTAAACAGATAAAAGTTGTTAAAATTTTGCACCATGAGATGTTAACAAATTAATAACATAAAATGCCATACCTTGAGATTTATATGAATTCCTTCTTTAGCTTTGTTTCCTTTGTGGACTCTAGCAGCAAAAGCAGGAATATAATGCCCAGCATATGATTCTCCAGTAATGTAAAAGTCATTCTTTGCATACTGAGGGTGTTCCTCAAAGAAGGCCTAACATTTTACAGAGCCATTGAAAAGACATGCATTTACTTCCCCTCAAACTTGTAATCGATGGAGTAAAAGCAAAAGACTTCTCTCTCTACAAATATAATTTGTGGATGAAGAAACTTACCTGTAAAAAGTCATAGAGGTCATTACTAACTCCCTCTTCATTGTGACGGATGTCCAGTTTGTCAGATGTATAACTAAAACCAGTTCCAACAGGTTGGTCTACATATAGGAGGTTTGATGCCTGCAATACCACCAACAATCAGCACCATCCCTCAGATAAATAAGCATATACCTAAGAATAATTTCCTCCTTAATCATGTGGATAATTGCATGAAACATCAGTTTAGACGTTAATAAAAAATCCAAGTTCCTGTTCTTTCATAGTTGATCATGTCAAGTCTCGAAGGGTTATTCGTCAATGGATTCTCTAGAAAATTAGATCTATCAATGAGTTAGCTTATAGAGAATACATAAACTTCATGTTTTAGTATGAAAATTGCTAAAAGTAAAACAATCTAAACTGCAGAGAAAAAGGAGATTAACAAAATAAAAATACCTGGTCCCAACCATACTCATTCCATACAAGAGACATGTTATCCGCAATAGTGAAAGGACCGTTTTCATAAAACATAGCCAACTCACTGCTACACCCTGGCCCTCCTGTCAACCAGATCACAACAGGGTCCGTTTTGCTGTTGCGTGATTCAAAGAAGAAGTAGAACAGCCTGCAAACATCAACTAGACATGTTAGCACAAATTGAAAAAATAGATACTGTTTAACATGCATTTATAGATGCCTAAAACTGTAAGATTCTAGGGGTTTTAAAAATTTTAGCTTGCATCATGAGAAATGCATATTTAACCATCAAATTCTCCGCTTGAAACATGCAGGCATTCAACTGCATACAAAACCAGTTCAAGGACTGCAAGAATAAAACCTAAAACCAACATAATCCAACACATGCAGGTTTAACATTCCAAATAAGGAATTTCAAAGACTTCACCTGGCATCATGTGAATGCGGAAGTTTGTAATAGCCAGCATGGTGCCCTAAATCATCAACAGAAACGCCAGCTGATCCTACAACATTGGGGAACCTCAACTGCTTATCAAAGAACCTGCTACCCTCCGCTGACACATGACTGGCATCGATGACATTGACTTCATCTTTTGGGAACAAATTGAGCTCCCTGATCAACTTCTCGCCATGTATGGAAGGGAAATTGAATCTAGCTAGACCAAGATGATGGTCTTCCAGGACGGAGGTAGCGGAGGAAGATGAGAGGAGGAAGAGAAGTAGAGACAGAAATATCAGTTTGTCCATTTTCGTTCGTCTTTGACAAGGAAAAAGCAGAGAATTGCGACGAGGTTTTATAAGAGTGAGGTGAAAGGAAGTGAAAATGAAGAAAAAACAGAAGTTTAGGTGGCGGTTAAGACACCTTACGGTCTGATTAGGCGGGAACGGAACGGTAGTTGTGATTTTTATTTTTTTCCCCTCAAATCTTC